AAGTATTATCCCGTTTGAAATCGATTCTTCCTCCTCCTATTCTGTCGTCATGTTCAAAGAGTTTTCCAATCTCTTTATAAAAGAAAAACAAAGGATATGGGGTATCCATTCACGACGTAAAATCAGTACATGCACAGCCAAAAAAAAAAACACAAAAAAAAACACAAAAAGCAAAGGAACAGCGCTTTTATTATGTCACTGTTATCAATGAACATTATGTAAAATGTTGAATTTTACGTTAAAACGACATCTGTTCTATATTCTAAAATTAAAATCCGTAAAAGTGGTAATGTATATCGCTAAGTGTAGTAGAGCTTTAGTGAATTCCATTTTTTGGAGTAAAATGTATGTTAGTTTTTAATCTTCCTGAAAAGAACACATAAACCAGAATATTATGAGATTATCCCCCTTTTGGCAGGAGAGGAGAGAAATGTTCTATCATGTTTATTAGTTTTAATTGTATTATTTCACGGCGAAAGAAACCAAAGGGACATTCAAACTCATAAGTCGAAAATAAATTGACAATACCATGGCTAAAACAGAAAAAGACCAACAGACAAACATAGTACACAAAACACAAAAAAGAAAACTAAATACTGAGCAAGACGAACCCCACCAAAAACTGGTTAATGTACAACACGGACCACTAAGCTATCTGTTGACCACTTACAAGACTATTTGATTGAAATAAGGATCTGACAACGCTTCCTTTTACTTTTTGTTTGAAAGACCTTTCGGGATACTCTGGTTTCGTCATAATAATACATATCTTCTTTAATTTGAAGGTAGCAATTTCATTGGCTGATGTAATAATTACCAAAACAGAAAGTTGAACGTACTGTAAGCGAGAACACATGATATGTTTTTCAATCAGATTGTATATCAAGGCAACCAGTTTTTCGTCAAGCAGTATAACTTAACTAATAAACAAAACGTTACAGAGTTCTGTATTAATGATCATTGATATATTCCTAAAACGAAGGCGACATGATGTGGACCAGTATTATGCGTTCACGATCTGAAGTTCCTACACATGCAACTTTATTGGCATATTGAAAGAAATAATAAATATTTTCCTTTTTATCATTTTTTTCATAAACCGTTTTCTATAAACGTTTGAGTCAAAATGAGTAAGGACAAACTGCTTTAAATCTTTAAAAACGAAATTCGTTAAACCTTTTCTACTATATATAGGGAAAACTATGTTTACAAAAATCGTTATATAGTTCAAAAAAGATAATAGGTAGATTCTTCGCTAGCCAAGGGTTGCGATCCAGTTTCCTCCTCTCCACCCTTGGCGGATTAAGATAGAATATCGGATCCTCGAGATAATGATATTCATTGGTCGCCGTTATAGCTGGCTGCATCCAATCAAAAAGCACCTTTAAGATGACCACGTGTAAATGTCAGAAGTGTAAATAAGCAATTGCCATGTGCTGATTGTTCAACAAGTCTTTACAAAAAAACATAGGACGATATTTAGTGACAATTTTAAAGTTCATAATTAACTAATAAGAATTCCTGGGTATGTTCCTAGCGCAAATGTTGGAATGTCAACGTATATTTTCGGTTTCTGATTCAATAAATTTGTAAACACTAGACACAATCATTTTTACACCTCCACACTGAAGAGAGTTCAAGTGCTGCCATTGGTCAAGAATGATGTAGTTGGAATGGGTGCGATTTTTATCTACCGGTAGATGACGCAGCATTGTAATCACAAATGTTAGCTTAATCTGTCAAGGGTAGAGAGGAGGGGACTGGATCGCAAGGACGGAATAGATAATATATTCGTATATAAAATTTATTGGATCATTCATAAAACATATATCAGAAATCGGCTTAAAATATTGCAGCAGACTACACCAACCACCAATAACAAACTTCAACGACAAAATACACGTACAGACAAACAAAACAAACAACTCATGGTACAGATAGCCTGACATGGTTAATGCAAACTATGTGGTGCAGTTATTTGATTAAATAGTTGAATATTTGGTCCGCATTTTAGTTTATGTCTTAATCTTTGAAATGAAAATAACACTTTATAAATTTGATGCGTCCGAAAAACTTTTCCTGAGTAATATAAAAATTAGGGGTGCAGTATGAACGCCAATGTGACATCTATCCACCATATAATAAAAGAAGTGATTTCTTAAATAACCCTCTGCATACGAAGTTTATTACCAGAATTGTATATTGAATTATTTATCATGTTCATTTCCAAATAATGAAATTTATTCTGCACGTGACAAAAATATATAGTATTCTACATTTGCTAAATATTTATAGAATGACTGTAATAGTTTTACTGTTTATGAAGATATAAAAAAAAATGCGGTACACATTGAATAACCGGGTTATCTAAAAGTGCATGTGCACCACATTTTTGAGGTTATTTCGAATAGACAGAAAAAATATTACAGTAATTCCTTATAATTTAATTCTAAATTCCATCTATAAGGAATAAATCACGAAAAAGGTTGATGACGTCACGGTCACATGCTAGCCTAGCCGCTAAATAGATCTAGATAGCCAAAAAAATGTATGTTATCTAGAGAATCCAAAATGGCGTCGGACAGGTTATTACTCATGACGTTGTGTTGATGGGCTAGCTACGTAGCATATCGTTCAACATAGAAAGATATCTATGACATAGCGGCTATACTAGCTAGTGCTACGATATTGAACGCAGTCCTGATAGACAAAAAACTTTCATCCAATCAGAAGACGTGTTACATCCAAAATCAAATTATTAAAGATTGAGCTTATAAAATTGGACTTTATGAGAACCCTTCTATGCTGTTATCCTACAGCATGTACAATTTTTCATTTTTTCTATGAATAGTTTCTTTGTAATGAAACTCCTTCAAAAACTTTAATAGTTGGAAGTACTTTGTTTTGACCCGAATTGCAAAACACGCTTGAACATGTGTATATGCACTATTGCTTTCAAAATATTTACATGGGTTCACTCACGATTTGTTTGTAGGGTTCAAATTGTTCTATGTTGGGTTTTTTCTATGGTTGTTTTTTTTTTTTGAATTTTTGTCGTTAACCTGTTGGTAATGGCGCCGATTACTTTTCTTCGATTATGTTTTTGATTCTTCACTTTATATTTTCCGCCTTTTTTTCAAAAACTATCCTCAAATATTCTCTTGTTAATCACACAAAAACTTTTTTATCATATCAAAATGACTTAATTCTTTTATGATTTCAACCTATAGTCTTTTATTTTAGATCCATATGATCTTACTTGACAGTCGAAGTCAAATTTAAGTGATAAATGTTCATCGCATCTCCTCTGATAATATGATAATCCTCAGCAGCGGATACAAATTAAGTGAAAGCAAAAACAAATGTTAAAGTTTCCATGCGCAACTGATTTGTTTCTTGATCAATCCTAATCAGGTGGTTGGCCTAATACCAAACGATGGGAGAGAAAAAAAATGAAACGTTTGAATTGATAGCATAAACCCAAAAGGGCCATAACAACTTAATGTAGTTTTTTGTTGAATCAACTTGTAATCGTTTTTCGTATTTTACCATTGAGTTGGCAGTTTTGTCTTCGCTTGTGAGTTTAGAATATCCCCTTGGTAGCTCTTGTCCCTTTTTAGCAAAGGAAATTGAAAATCGTAGTTTTCGAACAATTCAATATGATGTGTTAATTTACTGGATGTCATGCAATGGGGGCCAGTGTTATTGAGCAAGTTTCTGAATGCTAAAGACTATTTAAACCATTTATTTGAAGGACAAGAAAAAGGCAATTGCATTTTACCGATGATTAACACTCGAAATCTTAATATGAATACTCAAGCCATGAGACAAACTGTATGGAGTCGCATGAACTCCAAATGGAGCGAGACCGGGTGTGTCGACACGTTAATAACTCTTGCCCTTTAAGATTTAATTGTCAATCGAATCTGGATTTTGCGATAGGAAATCTGTTTCCTAGTATTTTCCGAAGACTTTTCTGGTGTCTGGAGATTTAGACCCGCAAAAGCGAGTTGTGACAGACATATAGTATTGCTAACCAATTTTTTATTGTAATCGTATAACTTGTGTTGTATTGATTTCAGTCGTTCTTTATCATAACCATTAAGGAGTTTCATAGTACAACATTTAACTAGTTATAACAGATTTAGTAATAATAGTCCAATTCTCAGGACAATCTGAGTAAAACAAAAGAGAGAGACGACACCAAAGCGGCAATCGAAAATCAAGTCTGATAAAATCTCATATGGCATTGTTGACCAAACCAGTAAAAATCCGGTTTTGTCGCTTTCGGTAATGAAAAAGAAAGGTAAAGAAGGGGAATAATGGTTACTTAAGTTGAATGTCAACTACCTATCAGATTTGTACTTGAAAGAGCAACACGACTGCTGCCACTTGTGGAGCAAAAACTGCCTACCCTTCCGGAGAACCTGAGATCGCCCCAAGTTTTTGATGGGGTTCGTGTTGCTCTGTCTTTAGTTTTCTATGTTGTGTTTTGTATACTGTTATTTGTCTGTTTGTATTTTTCCTTTTTTTTGTTATGGCGTTGTCAGTTTGTTTTCGACTTATGAGTTTGAATATCCCTTTGGTATCTTCGCCTTTCTCTTGAACATATCCGTGGACATATGTGACACAGATATTTAATCATGGTAAATAAATGATGATAACGTTCGTTATAGCAGTGAAGACTGCAATTTAACAGTTTAAACCCTTTAAACCCTTGATGAAACAAACCCATAGAAACAGCTACTCTCCATCGAGAAATCATCTTACGAAACGCAAGCTCTGGAACATCGTATCAAATGGAAGATACATGGACAGACGCTGCTTAATTGTTTGATAAGAAGTGGGGCATTTCAAATTCTTCGGATTTTTCAAAATAAACTCTCTTTTGGCCTTTTAACTGTTTTGATTCAAGCGCCATTTGTTGACAGTCAACATAAATCTTAAAACAAGTAAGTAATCAAGCCAAAAACAAAATCAAACAATTTTTATCTTCTTAGGGTGACACAGTGGACAAAGAAGATGTTCAAAGTCTGAACAGGTAAGATACATTTTACGTTTAACTTAATGTTTTTGCTTTTTTTTTACTGGTAACCCGACAAATTACAGAAACTGCTAATACTTCTGACTTTTCTTCAGTTCATCTTTGATTCTTGGATAAGGTTCCTGTCGTTCAATAGTTAAATTTTTATTTTCTGTGTAGTATTTTGTTGACCGTTGTTTGCCATATCTTCTTTTATTTTGCCCATGGCCTTTTGATTTTTTATTACGTAATAGGGTAATTTCAAGGAATAATTAAGTAATTGTTGGTAATATATTATGTCATTTTGAGTCAATGTGAATTAGTATATCGAATGGTGCACATTGAGGCCAGATCCATACAGGTGGTGATGCAGGAATAGTCTGAGTTGTGACAGACATATAGTATTGCTAACCAATTTTTTATTGTAATCGTATAACTTGTGTTGTATTGATTTCAGTCGTTCTTTATCATAACCATTAAGGAGTTTCATAGTACAACATTTAACTAGTTATAACAGATTTAGTAATAATAGTCCAATTCTCAGGACAATCTGAGTAAAACAAAAGAGGGAGACGACACCAAAGCGGCAATCGAAAATCAAGTCTGATAAAATCTCATATGGCATTGTTGACCAAACCAGTAAAAATCCGGTTTTGTCGCTTTCGGTAAGGAATAGTCTGAAACGCTAAACCTTTGCACCAAGTTTCATTCATTTTGGAGTTTATATGATTCCCTTAGTTGTGTATCTTCGGTAAATTACTGTTGCCCTTTTTTGATATTTCCTATTCGAAAATATAACAGATGACATCGTATAAACAAATAAAAAATATTCCTATTAGTTCTGTACTTGTCGCTTTCAATTGCTCCTTAACATTTTGACAGTGAAGAAACAGAACCATCAACAAGTTTAAAGACAGATGATGACAGTGTTCACAGAGAAAATGTTACGGTAAGTACAAATAAATATATTTGACGTATAATAAAAAAATTAATTGTTATAACGGCATCCACTGCATAATAAAGGTGACAAATAACTCATTGCGAAGCTGTATTTCATTGGATATTTACACAAAACATAAACAACTACAGATTAGAGCATTACCAATACAACGAATTTAGCAGGAAATCAAAGACCTTCAGAACTTAAAACAGAGATTGATAAATGCCCAATTCAAAACATAGATAGGTGAACAAACAACACCAAAAATAATTTAAATGCCATTTAAATGAAAAAAAATGATACAAAATTGCTTACATATACTTCTATTGTCGAAATGTGCACCTAATTCAGTAAAATTGGTACCGTTTATGTTTTTCGTATAGAGTATCCAGAAAAAAAGGGAAAAAGGTGCCGTTTTCTTAGAAACATACGTTAATCGTGTTAATGCATCTGATAAATATTACAGCGAACAAATAATTGTCGAAATGCGCATCTGGGGCAAAAAAATTGATATGTTAATGTTATTTTTGCTGTTCAATAGTTTTTGAAAGGATAAAACAGAGCTCATATCTCACAACAATTTAAACGTTTCCAGCATTGACTTAAGCAATACCTTGTCATAGTCATTTAAATATCCTTTTCAATCAATAACAAATACATTGGGTGTACCTTTGATAATGTAATAAATGATATGATTGCAGTCATGTATTCAAATTTTTAACCTCGACTGCGATAGATTGCAGGGTTGGCAAAGTATTACCGGGGCGGGAAAACCAGGGCTGGACAATACTCCCAGAAATGTGTAATAATGGGCAATACTGGGTAATATTATTTTATAAACTTTGTTTTTACACAGAATAGTGAAGACTTGTTGTAGTTTCATAGTATTATAGCTAAATATATAAATCATATACAGATAACCATTGAGAGTCATTTCTAGAGGATTGCAAATTAAATTCTTCCTTTTCTCCAATAATTCTATGTAGGCAGAATACAAGGTTTGCACATTTTAGGATACCTTATTAATTTCCAAGCTTTGTTTCAATAATCCAAACTTTGAAAAAAATGCATTTTATTGCAGTGTTATGAGTAATGAACACTTATTGAAATGAAAAGGCTGATTATTGTTATATAAACAAATCTGTGTTATAAACTACTTATTAATAAGTGATTAACATATATATACTGCTTAGTAAAATTCTTTAGCAATGAACACAAAATGTTTAAAAGTTATTTTCCTTACAAATAATTGTGAATTCTTAATAGTTATATATATTTTAAAAATTTAATTGAATTCTTTGGCTTTATGTTTACAATTTGACCAATTCAGACAGAATGGCGATTTAATAGATTTTTAAAAGGATTGTTTAGAAAAGCTTTCATTTTTGTATAATATGTCTTCATGTCTCAGAGTTGCCGGAACAATACTTTCTCAAATCTATACACAATATGATAAGAGAATCAAACAAGTGAAATTCTAAATTAAAATACTATGTTTTATTTTTATAAATATGTTTAATGTATTGCTTTTGTGATAAATCACCGAATCATATTTAAAATCCAGGCCAGTATTTCATATTTCACAGTATTGCCCAGTATTAACCAGTAAAACCCAGTAAAACCCGGGTTTTCCCAGTATTTCACACTGCGCTGGGCAATACCCATAAAACCCGGGTTTTTGCAAACCCTGGTAGGTTGTGGGTTCAAACCAAAGATTGTGAAATTGGTATTTGCTGTTTTTCGCTAAGAATGCGGCATTAAGAAGTAAGAACAAAAACTGGCAGGATCGGAGTGAGAAGAAATGTGCCTTGTAAGGGTGACATGGGTAAAATCCGGCTATTCGTGTCGGTTTAGTACAAAACAGGGTTCTTATTCATATCCCACTAACATGCCCTCGTACTATTTATGCATTGAATTTCCACTGAACAGCCATCTATCCATCCATCAAATGTTTTATGGGCCTATGTGGCCAAGTGGTATTAATAGTTCATAAATACCAGTCACTAGCCTGTCAACACTGAGATTGCGTTCGACATTAACTAAGTATGCTAGATTTTCCTGTCGAAGGTAGGTGGTTCTTTCAGAGCATTCTTTGCCCTCCAATACAAACTGATAGTCACGATGTAGCCAAGTGTGGTGAAAATGGCGTTTAACACCAACAATCAATCGAGCGTTCTACAAATGATTTGGTTGAATAAATTTATCACAGATGACCAGTCATATGTTTGAATTATTATAACTACTTATAATTTCAGACCTCAAAAGTAAACATGCAGTTTGACGTGTTTGTGTTCATGACTTTTTTATTTTCTTTGTAGTGTTTGTGGACATTATGTTTCTTTTTTTGTCCGTGGGAAAGTCCGCCATCCTTCCACATATGGATTTTTAAGTGTCCCTTAGTGTCTTAATTTTATACTTATAAATTATCATCGTATAAACAATTTTGATAAAGATTTGGAAAAAAAAATAATGCGCACTTTATTAGGTGCATCAATTTCATAGATACATTTTGGCGTTCGTTATTCTACTTTCTAATATAATTTGCTTTCGATGTAAATGCCTCAGTCAATTAGACTTATTACAAGGCGTGTGATGCATTCATAACAGGGGACGCGTCCAGTCTCGTTCCTTATTTGAGTTTTTTGTTTGCTATCAATGTCTCTATCATTTTAATTGATTTGTAAGATTTGAACAGCAGTTAAGTGCTGTTGCCTTTAATTGAATTGCAAAGTTTTAATAAAAATTGTGAAATCTTTTCATTTAAACAATTAACAAGGAATGTAATTTTATCCTAGCTCGATGAAGATAGCAGCAATTTTGATTCAAAAGAAAGTACTACATTGAACCAAGGAGATAAGAATTTGTGTGATATTAAAGAATTTGACAATAATAGTAGTGTTTCAATGATCACTGAAAACCTAGAAAAGGGTTTAGATATCACAACAGAAACAAAAAAGCCTGAAATTGACGATCAATGTTCAAATATGGAAGCAACAAATAAATTATCTGATAAAACAGAAGAACATTTTGATAAACGTAATAAAACAGAAGACCTACAGACACAAGTGCTGCAAAGACAAACTGATATCCGAACTTTTATGAGTAAAGTTGGTTTAGACACGATGTATCCTGACAAAATTACACTGATGGATGTGATGACTATACAATCCCAACCGGAAACGTCTTCCTATACAGATGTTCCAATGATGGTGTTGAAAAATTTAATGATGATAAATTCAACCTCTCGAGATAAGATGTTACAGGAATTTCTAGAAAAAATTCCAAAGGAAGATGACTCTATGGACAATTCTGAACTGTTTAACGAAAATGACGACATCTGGTTAGAATTAGGTATTTGCGAAACACATGAAAACTTGAATCCTTTAGATCTGCTCCTAGCAATATTTATGTGCAGTTCGTCGTCCTTAAAGAATATATTAGCAGCGAAATTGTTCATGTGCAAACTAGCGATTCCTTTCTTGGTTCCATCGGAAACAGGTGACCTGATATTAAATTGTTCGTTACTTCATTCTATAATTATGGATGACAAAACAGATAAAACAGGAATTAGACAAAAAGATGCCTTGAAATGCCCATGTCATGTTGTAAGCTTTATTCGACTTGGTCGACCAAACATTTCAAAATCAAAACTTATTAACACATTGCTTACAGAAACTTGCCATGACACATTTTTTAATATTAATTGCCCACTCGGTACCACTGAGAAAAGTATCAGTCACGGACTGGTAGAGGTTTCCTGGTATATTCCGTCAGCAAAAGGGAGCAGCCAGGAAAATATAATGATGTTCCTCAACTTGAGAGGTGATGGCCAAATTGAACAAAAGCAAGTAAATTGTCTTTCTAAAATGTCTTCTGTCCTAGTTATTTTTGTTGAGGTAGACTTTCTTGAAGATGAAACCACAAGAAAAATACTTAAAGATATTCAAACATCTGTATTAGGTGGTGTTATCTTAGTTCTTGATGGATTTAAACATACCAAAACAACAATAGGAAAAATATGCAGTAGCTACACAAAACACATTTCGAACGAAAATCTGAAAACTAAGTTATGTTCTGCCGCTGTGAACAAAAGATATGAAATAGAGTTTGAAGTAAAAAAAAGAGTTATGGCACATGTATGGTCTCTCCTAAAAAATGATCCAGCAATTCCCTTTTCTGCTAGAATAGTTAAAAACGTAGGGAAATATTTCACGAAGGACGAAGATTCGATTGTTCACAGGAAAGCCATTGAAAAGGCCAAGCATATCATCAGCGATATTCCAAACAACATTATCAATGTAAAACCACTCATTGCACCACTGCAAGGCACGCCATGGCAAATTTGGAGTAAAAAGTCGAAATTGATACATAAAGCTTCAAAATTTACATCCCTTCAAGACATGGCAAAGCACGAAGAGGAAATGAAAAATCAAAGATATTTCCAATTAGATGCAATAAGAAACCTCCACCCCTTTATGCAAAAATGCTTAGATGCATTTCTAGATTCGGTTAATGACGACAGCGCATTCGTTTTGCTAGTAGAATGGATGAAATTTCTGCTGGATGATCGTTCGAGGTATGTAGTTGCTGAGTGTTTAACAAAGTACCAACTTGCCTTTCAAATATTCGAATCAGCAAAACGCGAAGGAAGTGAAGTTTCGGAAGTAGAAAGAGACCTAAAGGAAAAAAGATCAGACCTCAATAATGCTCCTTTCAGATTTGAACATTTGTTGCGAGAATGTGGGCAGATTTTTGAATCAATTAAAGCTTGCAAGGAAAAGGCTTCCGTTTCAGAACAGAAACTATTAACAATGTTACCAAAATTTGCAGCAAAGCTTCTTTTAATTGGTCAGCCCTTAGAAATTCTTGATGGTGATGTCACGCATGTTCCTCTCCTTTGGATAGAAGCAGTTCTTTTACAGTTGCGTGATTTAATCGGGGACAAAAGGCTTTTAGCACTGTCCGTTGTTGGTCTTCAGAGCTCAGGGAAATCTACTCTGTTGAATACAATGTTCGGCCTACAATTCGCAGTAAATGTAGGCAGATGCACGAGTGGAGTTTTTATGCAATTGGTTCCAGTTCATAAGGACAGTTCTAACTTTGACTATGTTATTGTAATAGATACCGAGGGATTACGTTCACCTAAACAAGATGAGACAGAAGAATTAAGTCACGACAATATGCTTGCAACATTTGTTATCGGTTTGGGGGATGTTGCAATGATAAATGTAAAAGGAGAAAATACATCGGAGGTTAAAGACATCCTTCAAATTGCAGTCCATGCTTTTCTTCGTCTTAAACTAGCAAACAGAAAATTAAATCTCAAGCAAAGTTGTGTCTTTGTTCATCAAAACGTTTCCGATTCTGCAGCAAATGCTAAAATGCTAGAGGAAAGACAGATGTTCGTCCAACAACTGGATAGAATGGCAAAGGAGGCAGCAGAGCAAGAAGACATAGCAGATATCAAAACTTTTAGTCAAATTATAGATTTCAATAGCGAGGAAAACGTTTCTTATTTTTCAGATCTTTGGCATGGTGATCCACCAATGGCACCTGTAAATCCGGGTTATAGCAATCGAGTGGCTGAGGTAAAGAACTCTATCTTAAATAAAATTGCTTCGAAAAGAACAACATACTTGACCATAACAGATACAATTTCACGAATACAAGATCTCTGGAATGGAATTATCAAAGACAATTTCGTCTATAGTTTCCGTAACAGTCTAGAACTCAAAGCGTATAACGGTATTGAAAGAGAATATCACTCCATGGTCTGGGAAATGGAAAAATTTCAGTATGAGTTTTTAGTGTCTACTGCAAAATCCAAACTTAGTCATGAAAAAGTTAATAGATTAGATGAAACAGTATCCGAAATAATGCGCGCATTTTCTGGTGAAATAGCAAAAATGGTAGATGTGCTAACAGAAAGATTGGTCAGTTTTATCGAAAGTAACAAATTGAAGGAGGTTATGATTCAATGGAAACAGATAAAATTAAATCGATTAAATTTACTATCAGAGAATCTAATAATAAAATCCAAAACTGATATGAACATTATGAAACAGGAAATTATGACCGAATCAATACAACGAGAAGAGCGGATAAAGAACGAAAAAGAGGTGAATGAATTAGCTAGAAAGCTAGCCGCCGAGATGCAAGGAGAAAAGCCAAATGAAAAGTCAATGAGAAAGAGATTTGAGGAAATGTGGAATAGTTGGTTGGACAACTTAAATTTGAATGTTGTGGAACATACGATTTCGGTAAAGGATCAAATTGAAAAGTTACTTGCTGAAGAGTATCCATCAGAACTAGTTTTCATGAGTCGCACAAGGATCGATAGCGATCACAATCATGAAATTGAACATGCAAAACTAGAAGGAAGCATTCAAAGCAACATGATTAAAAATGAACATATGAGTATCAGAAAAACCTTGGATGCAAATATACTGGGGGAGGAGTCAATGGATATTTATAAAGAGCAAGCTGTACATGTCACCGATGGTATTTTGCGAAAAATTGATATACGATTAGATGAAATAACTAAACAAGATACACGTTTTGACACAGTGTACGTGCATGAAGTTTTTAATATCATCGCCAGTGACTTTAAAAGTCACAATGATCATTGCTCTAACGATTACAAATTCAACTTGCACTCTACGTATAGGGCTTTGATAATAGATCGTGTTGTTAGTCATATAACACAGGTATTTGCAGGCTTGCACCAACGTTATCAATCTAAGCATAGCCCAAGAGGTCGACTAAAGGAGTACAAACGGACAGTTTGGACACTCTTTGTAAACCTCGTTGAACAGAAGACTGAGGATATGATTATAGCGGGTTTTATCAAGGAAGCCTTGTCGGAGAGGGTTAGTGAGCAGGTGTCTGTGTTGATTCCCATAATGGCAGTTGATAAGATCCTCTTGTCATTTTCCCAGGAAAAATATAGCCTTATGAAGGCAATTATGATAGATCTTGCAAATGCTGGCAATTTTGAGAGATACATGTCCTTCATAAAAGAGCCTGCATCGTTTGCCAGAAAATGGGTATCTGATTTTATGTATAAAGAAATTTTTCACATTAAAACTGATGCTGTCCATCATTATGGATTATGTGCTAGAAGTCGAACCCAGCGAATATTTGAGATGTTGTCCAGAGGTATTTCAGAGACATCACAAATCCTGAAGGTTGATGGAAGTCTTGATATTTCCGAATGGGTTGAAACCCTAACAGGTATCATTCAGGAATCTGACATTCTGCCGTTATCGAAAGAACATTTTGTCCATGTTCTAGGTAGACATGTATCAGATCATCTGAATTTTAAAAGAGTAATTCTTGGTGAAATGGGGAAGGTGGAACAACTTTTAAATCAGACATTTGCTGAAGTTACTAGTACAAATGTCAAATGGAAGAAAGATGTAGTATCTTTAATTATGGATAAATTATGGGGGTGTGAAGCAAAATGCATGTTCTGCTCGGAGCCATGCATGAATACTGACAAATCACATGAAATACACGCTGTATTGCACCATTGTATTCAACATCGCCCACAAGGAATCAATGGATTTTGCCATATCCGTGATAAATCACTTGTAGTAGAGTTTTGTAATGTGCTAATTCAAGGTGAAGTCAGATACCTTTCTGATGACATTGAAGAATTCACAGAAATATGGAGAAAATATAAAGAATACCAAACGCATTACCCACAATGGGACATTCAACCGACTTTTGACACTTCGAAGTACTGGATGTACGTTATGTGTACTTATCAACACAAGCTGAAAGATTTTTATCGGCTAAAACTTCCACATATTCCTGACAGTTGGAACGACATCACACTTGAAGATGCATTAAATAGTTTATAACTTATTTTGATAAAGATTTTATCGCAAAAAAGCTTAGAATCTGAACATATGCAAATATAGGAAATAAATCCGACGTGTTTTCAATTGACTAGTTTCAAATTTCAGAAAATTTTCTTAGTACCCTAAATAATGCATGGTAATTGGCTACGATATAAACAATAACTTTGAAGTTGTCATCATCAAATGTTATGTCAACAAACGAGTGGTGACTACTTGGTGGTGATTCCCTCGTTGTAAAACTGTACAATGATAACAGCCTTATCATTTGATACGCGACACATATAACGTATGTTTCGGTTATTGGATGAAAAACTGTAAAATTCCAACCGGTTTCAATGAATCATTAGAAAAATTCATTTCCCTGATGATACATTTGAAACAGGTTTTAATTGTCAAGGCCATGACTTTATTTGGCGATATTGTGTTATCATATGATAAAAATATTCTATTCAATGTTTATATATATATATATATACATATATATATATTTATATCGTACAGTACAAAACATCTTATTCTTATGAGGTGATATTTTTATAAAAATTAGCAATTATTTCATTAACCCAATCTATTCATTCTACAATTTTTTAAATCTATCAAATTTTTCATAGTTACAAAAATAAAAGAGATTTTCTTTTCCTTTTTTTAACAAATTATTTCATCTGTTCACTCACCTGATAAGAATTACTCCTCAATAGGATTACAGATTCAATGATCAAGTTCAGTAATAAACGGCAGTGCAAACATTCATAATTGATTCAGTTATTGTATGCTGCATTGTTGCATTCTGATAGGTAAAACAGTTTAAAAATGTTCTCGTAGTCATTTAGATTTCTTTTAAGAAATTAGACTGTGATTATGTTAATCTTTTTAGACTGTAAACAACTAGCTTAAAATTATGCAAGATTCAATGAATCAGTATTGTCAGTTTAGTATCATCAATATTTATCTGCATATTCATTTATTATTGAATTTCGTTTTAAAATGTTAGTTTGTACACAAATAATTTGACTATTTACCGTTTTTTTTTTGCGGTATCTGTCTTCTAATCTATATTGCAAGACGACACACAAAGCATGGTCAAATAACTATAATTTATCTTGACAAACCCACATTAGACAAAACGTCATCAAATAAAACAAGCTCTAAGCTCATACATTCAACACTATGAAATAAACCGTCAAGAAAATTTAGCCAACCATTAAATCGCCCCGAATCAAAGGGTAAAATTTAATTGAAAGACTAGGAAAGATTAACCATCAGAACCAATATGTGTCTGATGACATCAACTTGTGGCGGGGTTTAAACGTTTTGATATCGAATTCGTTCCGTTTAATTTTATATGTATTCTATATTTTTGTTTCGGAAAAAAAACATCTATTATACTCTGTGATACCGGTATAAAACAATGCATAAATAAAGCTACAAGCAAAACAATAATTAAGTGTGTCGTTTTTAAGAATGTGTCATGTAACTGAGAAAATAATCCAAAGATCTTAACATGCATATGAAACTTTACCAGTTTCCGCTTTCATGCCAGCGGTTGTATGTCCGAATAAATTTCAGGAATATTGCAGGAAAAACTATTCTCCTGTAATATTCCTTGATACCACTTGATTAGTGCTTGGGAAAAACTTGTAAATAGAAATGCACGACTGATGTACTGAAAAATGTATACTCTACAGAGAGGATACAGCGGGAAATAACTACCCAGTTAGGAAATTATAATAATAATAAAAGTAAAGGAACTGTTGTCCAATTTGTTCAAAGACTACTATGGCAATTGTTTACAACAAAGACACTGATCACTTTACAAATTAAAACTTTCGTGTTTATATTTTGTATAACCTGTAAATACTTATATATATATATATATATATATAAAGAAAAGTTAAGTAGAATCCGTATGCTGGTAACATTAATAAAAGATAATAACGGTTTCAATATTCTGCGTACTGACGTTGTTTATCATCTTAACAACGTGTTATATTGTTCTTTTATTTGTTTTTGTTCAGTTATTAATATTACTTTTACTGTTTGGTCTGTTTTCTGTGATATCCATTTGACGTGGCTCGGTACTTATACATCCCGTCAATGTGTTTGTATTATCTTTCATTTTTGCTGGTGTGTATGTGCGACTTTTTGTGTTTCTTTGGTTCATATGACGTGACTCTGTACTTTTAAAGATCCTGTCCTTAAGTTATTGTTCTATTATATGTCATTTTGTTATTGTTCTATTATATGTCATTTTGTTATTGTTCTATTATATGTCATTTTGTTATTGTTCTATTATATGTCATTTTGTTATTGTTCTATTATATGTCATTTTGTTATTGTTCTATTATAAATTTGAAAATACTTTGAACGACAAACGACAAAATTACTTTACTCGCGTAGTGGTATTAACCATATGTGGATTCTTAAAAATTCTAAAGAACTTCTGGATAATTTTAAATCTCTGTCTGTTTCTTAAATTAGTTCTAATACAGCTTTTGATTTTTTTAACTCTGTATACCACCATTCCCCATGTGAAATTATATATATTTTTTTTAAATACTTTGAACGACAAAATTTCTTCCTATGTGACTTTTACATTTTCTGACGTCAGACACACGAAGCATTGAATGTGGTTTTTAAATTTTATAGATGCTTAACGATGTTGTTTTCATTCGTTTTATGTGTTTTATCATTTGATTTTGCCGTTTGATTAGGGACTTTCCGTTTTGAATTTTCCTCGGAGTTCAGTAATTTTGTGATTTTACTTTTTTTGTGCTGTTTTGTTAAATATTTGTTTGTTTTGAGATTGTGACACAGTGATGACTGCTGTACCCATATTGTGACTATTTTATCTATTATGTCTGTTTTGTTCACGCATCGTTGTAAATATAACGGAATTTGATGCGACTATCATACAAGTGAGCTAGAGGTTTAGCGCTATAAAACCAGGTTCAATCCACCATTTTCTACATTTGAGAATGCCTGTACCAAGTCAGGAATATGACAGTTGTTGTCCATTCGTTTGATGTGTTTTATCATTTGATTTTGCCATTTGATTAGGGACTTTCCGTTTTGAATTTTCCTCGGAGTTCAGTATTTTTGTGATTTTTATTTTTTTTTCATCACTTTTACTAGCGCTTTCACTGCTCTCACAGATCTTCAGGTAGTGTGACTTGTATACATAAGTGTTATAAAACAATTGATTGACGTTAACAAATACAAGGGAGACTACAAATCTTTTATTAATTTTCTTATATATATATATAAACTAGTCTAAATTGAAAACAACGTTCAAACCTATATATAAGTCTGAAAATCAAACCCAACAGTGTTAGAATTAGATTTTTATGCTGACAAATTTTTGTCCCTCAACGGGATTTGAACTCACACCTTTGATACACTACAGCACCAATCGCTTAACCTCATGTCCAGAGCTCTAGACCACTCGACCACATCCGCATATATATATATATTCAATATATATGTTGTACGTTTTGTGTTATTAACAACGTCTTTTCCTACCCTTTTTTATTATCTTCACAGTTTATCTATATTTTAGATTCCTAATGTGATTTTGTTATGCTCACCACAGTTTTGTCATGTTTTTTCGTTTTGAATGTTATGTTAATATACTGTTCCTCGATTGCTAGCTTTAACCTAAAGAAGCATGCCCAAATGATTTCCCCCCTTGAAATGGACAAAAACACCATAAAACTATTTGCTGATCGCCATTAATGGCTATGATTTTGAATGTCCCCTTGGTATCTTCCGTCTGTTTTTATCAATCGGAAAGATAAAATCAACCTGTTTGTCATTTTAGTATATAGATTATCAAGAGAAACTTTAAAATCATGGTTTAAAAAGGACAACTAGCTGTCACTATTAATGAGGAATTAAGTATTAGTGAATTAATTGGGATATGTTTCGTTTGTTTATTAAGATATATATTTCGGATTGTTTACAGAGAACACGTCGTCATTTACAATGATCTATATACTTATAAAAATCTAAATTTCCAAACCATTTATTTTTATTCATAAAGGTTTAAATATGATTCTATTCTGTTGATTTTTTTACTTTCGCTGGAAAAATCACAAGAAACATGCTTTGATAAGGCTATTATATATTTGTTCTTCTTTTATATTGTTAAAACTAGTATATAGATGTCCTTTAAGATTAAACTTGTAGTTGGTTTGTTGTTATTGTAAGTTACCTTTACATGCTTTATCATTTGTTTATATAGTACTCAAATTGCGATAACGTTTTTAGTAGCCGTCAATGATATGTTATGAATGTACACAAGCGTTTATTCTACCTGGCATACTTTTTTAAGATCAGGAAAATATATATTTTTATTTGAAAATTTCAGTTTTCTCGAAGTGATATAGAAATAAATGCGTTGAATTTACTACTTTGGATAACGTCTCAGAAAGGTATACGTTTAAAAACGTGGTCATCAAATTATTAACAAATTAAACTATTGACCATTTTAGTTTAAACTTCATAAATGAGGATAACTGGTGTTCGCACCTAAAATATATGGTGACCCAGTTATTGTTTGTAAATATGGATGATTTTAACTCCGAGTCTGTTTAAGTAAACAAAACAGAAAACTAAAAAACGATTAAAATTTTATTTTCACACAAACTTTTTAAAGAAAATTTAACGGGAACTTCAAATTTGTCAAAGGCTAAGAGAGAAAAAATAGTACCCATCAGGATTCGATATATATATTTGACTTGCTCCTTCTCTTAATCATGCTCGTTATACACGTCTTTAAAAAGCAGAATGCAACTTAAATTCTACAATTTGATGTATTCGTTATTTATTTTGAAATTCTTACTGCTGCCTATCTGAATTAAAATTGTTGTGTATAAAATAAAGGATATATAGAAATGTTTCTTTTGTTTGTTTTATTTAAGCTTAGACAGAATTCAACATCAGTTCGACTTATCAAAACAGTTAGAATTGAGATTTATACTGTGTAAAATATAATATTTTATGTAGTGATTCCGAGAAATATTGTTCGAAAGTTATTCAGTTACACTTGAATAAAATGAAAATTCCTTAAAAGTACAAGCTATAAACATGCTGTTGTTCCTGCGGACAAGGCTTCAAATAATCTTATTTTTCTATGTAATGAGTGTTTTGTAAAAGAATTAGGAACAAATGAGCACTCAAGTAATTCCACATACAAAATACATATCATTTGACAAGGATGAGATTTTAGCGAATCACAAGTCCTTCATGGCTTCAATGAAAATCTGAGGACTTACCTTGCTTTTATTGGATACAAAAGCTTCACAAAATTCCTTACAAACAACGGTACATTGC